TATAAGGAAATGCCTTTTGGGCAACATAACCTCTTTTATCACAACCCAAGCCTTCTCTCTATAACAGCAAAATAATTTGGTCACTTCCTCAATGATTTGAAATGAACATTTTTTTGTATAGTCAGCACAGTCTCCATCATTTCACAGCAGTGGCATAAAACTCTAATGTGGGCAAAATACCCCCTTTACAGGCAACTTGCAGTAGTGTTCATTTGGAAAGTCTGGGGGAACAAGTGAAGGTTGTCTCTGTAGGCAAAGCAAATAAGTTGGATCAGGAGGGTGTGTGTTAGAAGTAAGGAAAAGTTCATTATGAAGGCAAAGACATGAATGTGCTGGTTTATTCACTGGAAAGGCAAATGTTAAGTGTAAATCAATGGTCATATTATAGAGCCTGGAAATTTAGAAGTTTTCCTGATCTTTGACAACTTCTACTACTACTACTACTACTACTACTACTACTACTACTACTGCTGCTGCTGCTACTACTACACTACTACTACTGATGATAATGATGATGATGATGTGTTCTGTTTTACCTTTAGCCATTTGAAGAACCATCCTTTAACAGACAACAGAACAAACCTACCAAACTCAAAATTGCTACTTAATTTAAGCTGGTAAAAGTAAAATGTTTACTTTGTATCTTTAGTATCTCATGTTTCTTTTAGGAAATAACACTTGGTTTCAGTATCAAGCTTGGTGAATTATAGTGTGCCCATTAAAAAAATGAGATACAAAAATACTGAATTTTTGCAAAGGGGTGCCTGGCTGGCTTAGTTGGTAGAGCCTGCGACTTTTGATCTTGGAGTTGAGTTGGAGCCCCACACTGGGTGTAGAGATTACTTAAAAATAAAATCTAAAAAAACCCCCACAATCCCAGCATACTAATCTATTTTTCACTTTTTGCATATATATTTTTAGAGCTAAAATGCATTAAAAGTTTATCTTATTCCTGTATACTTAGTAGTCTATCAGATGCATTTCCCATACTTCTAGTCTTATTCCAACCATTTAAAAAATTACTGTGGTTACGTACATCTGATATAAAATTTACCATTTTAACTATTTTTAAATGTACATTTCTGTAGCATTCAGGACATTCACATTGTTGTACAACTCTCACCACTATCCATCTCCAGAACTTTTTCATCATCCCCAAATGAACTCTATACTCCCCATTCTTGCCCTCCTCTGGCAACCACTATCTACTCTCAGTATCCATGAATCTGACTATTCTAGGTACCTTATATGAGTGGAATCATATTTGTCTTTTTGTATCTTTATTTCACTCTGCATAATGTCCTCAAGATTCATGGATGCTGTGGTGTCAGAATTCCCTCCAATTTTCAAGTTAAATAATACTCCACTAAATGTGAATATACCACATTTTATCTATCCATTCATCAATCAATGAACACTTGGGTTGTTGCCACCTTTTAGTTATTGTGAATAGTGCTGCTATGAACATGGGTGTAAAAATATCCATTCAAGTTCCTTCCTTCCATTCTTTTGGGCATTTACCCAGAAGTGGACTTGGTGGATCATATGGTAATTCTATGTTTAATTTTTGAGGAATCACCATTCCGTTTCCCAAGTCTAATCATTTCTATTGGCTGTATAATATTTCATTTGTTTTCTATACCCTTATTTCTTAAGCCATTCCAGGACGCTTTCTAAGGATCTTCAAATTTTCTCTTCTTCCCGCCCCCCCCCCCCTTTGGATGGGAATGAGTTTTGGTTTAGGCAATGCTCCAGGCTTTTGTCCCAGTTAAACAACAATGACAACAACAACAACTCATTTACAGGGGCACCTGGGTGGCTCTCGGTTGGTTAAGCATCCGACTTTGGCCTAGGTCATGATCTCACCATTCTAGAGTTCGAGCCCTGCATCTGACTCTGTGCTGACAGCTCAGAGCCTGGAGCCTCCTTCGGATTCTGTGTCTCCCTCTCTCTCAATCTGCCCTTCCCCCACTTAAGTTCTCTCTCAAAAATAAACACTAAAAAAATAACTCATATACATATATCATTACTTCTGACAGCTAATAATTAAGTTGATTTTTTGCTTCATGTCACCTTACAACTATTTCCTTATACTCAGGAAGTGCCCTATCCATGGCAGTAAGTCCTTTCTAGCTAGACCTCTGCTTTCCAATCTGGTAGTCACTAGCACATATTTAAACTTGAGTCAATTAGAGTGAAATAAAAATAAAAATTCATTCCCTCAGTTGCATGAGCCATATTTCCAGTACATAATAGCCACATAGAGCTAGTGCTACTGAATTGGGTGACACAGATATAGAACACATGATCCCAGAAAGTTCTGTGGTGAGTGCTGCTCTAGACTCTGACCTTTTGGCTGAATTAGAGCCTACGAGTTAATCCCAGAAATGATTAAGTCCCAGGAGACAGGCCAATGATAGCTACATTCAGAAGAGAAGGTCACAAACTCTAAAATGTGAGTTTCATAGTTTGTAATTGGGCATATCTCTTCCAGAGGCAGGAATACTTCTGTCTACTATTTCCCCTGTCGTTCCTCTTCAAAATATGAATTAGTGGCCTGAAGTATTTTGGTGATGGTCACCTAATCCAAAGTGGGTCAATTAAATTCCTTCTCCTTCCCTTAGGAATTTGGAAGCGGGAAAGCAGAGTGTTCAGTCAAGTCCTCTAGGTGTTTTGAACTATAAAACTAGGAGCATAAATCTTATCTTACTAGTAAAACAGAGTTGGATACAGTAACAGAAAGAAAACAAAAGCAGGTAAGCAGAGATTAGGCTGCTGTTTACGGTTTCCATATTCTGGTTCTTTAGGCCCATGTGCACTCCTGACTTTGGAATCAAGGACAGAAATCTACCCACATCCTAATAGAGAATTCTTGTATGCTTAAGCTAGCTTGAATTGGTTTGTTTTGCTATGTGGGAATTGGAATCCTAAGACACACACACACACACACACACACACACACACACACGCATATACTATAGATATGGGTACTGCCATGTTCACACTGTGGAAGCATGTGTGGTTGCGCAAAACTTTGTATTTAGTCATTGCACTGAGCCTCCAGACTCCCTATAGCCCCTCTGATCTTTCTCTACTTTTCCTCTTGCTTTACTTCCTTCTCATCTTGGTGCTCAGGCTGTCCTCTACCTTTTTCCTCTTCTTTTCTTTCTCTTGATCAAAGTATGCCGTCTGCTATCTTTCAGGGTGTGGAAGCTTTATTAAATCAAGTCATGTAACATATTAACAACTGACTTTATTCTTTAGCTGGTATTGCATTTTACTCTCTCAGGCCTAGGTAATTCAGTCAACATTCATTAATGAATGACTGAATAAATAATCCCCGACAGGCCAAAGCAGTGAATGTTGAGCTTTAGAATCTGGCATGAATAGAACTGAGTAGGGTACTTATGCAAGTCTAGCACGCTACTTTTACTTTAGATGGATTAATTAGGATAGACCTTACCTCTTGCAGGAGGACAGGGTGAGTCAACTATGAAAAGAATGACAGCATCAGCATCCCAAAGGGAAGGGACACATGCTAGTGTTCTAGGCAGTGAAATGCTTAGTGTTACCAAGGAACAAAAAGGAGGCCATTGTGACCAGAGTGGAGAAAGTAAGGCAGAGTAGCATGAACCTTGGTAGGCAGGGCCTTCAGGCCCTGGTAAAAGGTTGTGACAATTTCTGAAGAGCAATAGGAAAATTCTAAAGGGATTTAAGCAAAGAAGTGACCTCATCTGACTTGAGTGAAAAAAAAAAAAGTCCTTCTGGCTAGTTTGGAGATGAATTATAGGAAGACAAGCAGGGGACCCTTTAGGAGGCTATAGCAATTGTTGGCAGAGAGATCATAATTAGTAGGCTTTTAAGGATTGGAGGTCAAAGGAGACAGAGAACTTTGTGACCACATTTGAGGTTTTTAAGGTAGATATACAGGCTCTTACTGATGAAGAAGTTATTCTTTTTGCCTTTTAAGTAGCCAGCCCCCGTATTAAAGTTGTTAATGGAGTAGACCTAGACCCTAGGAAATCAAGAAGGGCATCTCTCTGTTTCATAGGCTCTGGGCTCAGCTCTTAACCAAAGTACCTTGAGACTAACAATCTCTCAGCATAAAATTCTGCCATTTTCCTCCCTTTCCTTTGAGTGAACTTGGGAGGTGACTGCTGAAAAAAAAGACTCTCAGCAAGAGGACAGCGGCCTTTGGGGTTCGGCGGTACACCTCTAACTTTTAATTTCAATAAGTGTTTGCTTTTAATTTGGTATCGGTTATTTTACATTGCACAAAGTGAGAGCAGGCATTTTGCTAGCAGCATCTCCGTTTTCATCCACGAATATTGTATTCTCCATCTCAACTCCAAACAACCAAGGGCAAGATGCCTTTAAAAGAATTCATCTTTCATTTAAAAATGAGTTCCCTTTCACCTATCCAAATCTCGTGCATCTGGGACCCGCTTCCCGCCGCACCGACAAATGCACTCATTGTCTGTGCACCAATCCCCCTGGATTTTATGCAGCGTGCATTTCCTGCTCCGAGCTGCTTGCTGGCTGTGTGCGTGCTTCCCTCGTCCCCTGCCCCCATCCGGATCCGAAGCTTTTGTTTCTCATATTTCCTCGAGACGCTATTAAAATGCATGGGCTCATCGTTCCTAAATAAATGAATGTCCAGGAACTTTTCTTTTGGCTGTTAACCTCTAGGCCGCTGTCCAGTAAAGTTGTGAAAGGCAAGGGAACCCAGCATCTCACGTAAAGGGGCCAATCCACATGCAAACAACGGAAACGTGGACATTATTTCCCAAACTTGTCGCGTTACGGGGACACTTTGGCCCGTTTCAGGGAAACGCTCGGCAGGGCCCTCCCCGGGCGGGCAGAGGCGCCCCACGCTGCCGCGGCGCTCGCTCCCGCGTCTGCAAGGCGCGAGGAGGGGGCGAGGAGCTGGCTGCCCCGGGCCGAGCGGAGCGGGACCTCCGGGCGGCGACGCTCTGGCCCGAGCTCGCTCGATGGTTTCCGCGCGGCCGCTCGGGCCCGCGCGGTCCAGTCACCAGGGGGCGCGCTGGCCGGCGCCGCGGATCTCCGAGCTGCGCGGCCCGACTCGCGTCCGCCATATTGGATGCCGCAGCCGCTGCTGCCAGCGCTTCCTCCTCCGTCTTCGCTGTGCGCTGCTGGTTCCTGCGGCCCGAGCGGCGGGGAGGTGAAACAGGAGTCTGACGAAGATAGAAGAAGGAGGGGGTGGGGAGTGTAGGGGACGGGGCTGGAGGGCGGAGGACCGAGACCGAGCGGGGCTGAGAAGAGAAGGCGCCGCGGCCCGGCCCCTCCCCCGCCCGCTGCCGACCCGCCCCGGCAGCGCCTGTGTTCCCCAGACCGGCGCTCCGCCCGCCCTAGCGGCCATGCCGGAGCCTCGCCGCCCCTGAGGGAGGCTTTCCCTGCCAGTGCTTGCCCTTCCACTTCGGCCCCAGGGTCGCAGCGGCCGGGTCTCCCGCCGGCGCCCCTCCTCGCGGCGCCGCCGCCGCCCCCGTCTCGCTCTCCCCACCCAGTGCAGTGGCCGCCGCCTCTTCCGCCGCCGGGCTCGGGGCCTCCGCACCGACAACATGGAGGCTGTGAAAACCTTCAATAGCGAGGTTGGTATTGCAGCCCGGCTTCCCCTCCTACCCACACCTCCCACCGGGCCGAGGTCCGCGCGAGCCGGGTGGGTGCGGGCCTGCAGGGCTTCCCAGGGTGGGGCGAGCGGCGGCCTAGCTGGGTCGGGCGGGAGGGGGAGGGGTGTTTCTCTGCCCCGCGCCCCTCCCCCGAATCCGAGGGGAGGGCTGGGGGAGGGCCGCCCCGGGGCGGAGGGAGGTTCCGGTGTCTCCAGCGCCCTATTGAGTGGCTTCGGGGTTGGAGGGAAGGCCCCGTTGGGCCCTCCCCCGGAGGCTCCTGGCTGGTCTCTCGGGGTCAGTTCCGCCGAGGCCCGGCCCGCCCACCCCTTCCGTGGGCTTGCGGGGTTTTAACTGCCCACGGGTCATCACTGCCCAGACCTCCCCGGGGTCCTTGACGAGGCAGGCTCCGACGGGGGTGGTACAGGAAGGGAACCTACGGGGGTGATGATCTCTGGTCACGTTGTACGTACTGTTTATATTTGAGATACTGTTGGCTAGGTAACCTGCCAGCTAGGGACCGATGCAGGGAGAGGCTGATGGGGAGGCCAGATTGTTCCCGGTCTCTCCTCTCATCATCAGAGCGTAAAGACACAAGTGATAGGGAGAGGTCTGGGCTTCAGGAGAGAGGGAAGATGCACTTCCCATGGGCTCGTTCATAATGTCACATGTAACACTAGATTTTAAAGCAGGTGTCCAGTTTTCACTACTTAATTGAACTCCTTAGTCTGAAAGGAGGCAGGTTTCGATCAAGTGCGTTTGTTTATTTATTTATTTAACTTAATTTTTTTTTTTTACAACTCCGACGTAAACAGACCTTAATGCAAACATTAAACATAACAAGTACCTATCTACATAGCCAGAATTATCCTTATCTGTTAGGTCTTAGGAAAAAAAGTATTTTGATGCGATGTTAACTAAAGTCGCATAAATTTTAGGGACTTTTGATGTGGAAGTGCCGGTACTCTTTTCAACAGTATGATTGACAAAAGCTTAGATATTCACCTTTTAAAATACTAGACATAATTACTGTTGATAATCAGATGAGGATAATACTATTTTTTAAAAGCTGTTTCAGAGGTTTTTTTTTTTTAATTTCTTCCTTTTTTTTTTTTTTTTTAAGAATTGACATTTGGGAAGCTTAGCAGAAAGGCTAAATAAAAGTTAGATAACATCCATGTGAGTTGGGCTCTCCACTCTCTACGTTACCGTACACAGCAATGACACCGATGAAAGCAAACATTTTTTATAAAGGGTTTTCTTTTTTGGTATTGGCTTTTCTTTCTCTTTAGGCACTTCTTAAAAAGAGCAATAGACTTGGGAATCTTTTTTCCATTTTATTTATGAATTTGTAGCTAATTACGAAATTTGTTCTCTCAGTAGTACTTAGTGCTTAAAATCTGAAAGAAAAATATTTATTGGTATTATATGTTCCAATTTGTGGCAAATAGTTTCTCAGCTGTGCAGGAAAGAAAATAGCTCTATGTAGCCTTTTTATTTGCTACATACAGTGGTACAGCACTATGGAATGTTAAAGTTTTAAGAATTGTATATATTTTTAAAAAGCCTTTCTCTTATTTCCACTGCAGTTATTTGATTTACTCCCACCCCTTTTTATCAAGTTTGTTTATTTGTTTATTTTTTGTAATCCCTACATCCAGTGTGGGGCTAGACCTCCCAATTTGAAGATCAAGAGTTACATGCCCTTCTGAATGAGCCAGCCAGGTACTCCTACCCCACCCCTTTTTGATGGGTGTCCCTTCTGTTGTCTGGGGAGTTCCTAATATGTATCTTCCTTCACTCCCGGCCCCCACCCCCAAAATTTTGAATAGGATCCCTCCTGTGGTAGGTAGAGAAAAGATGTTAACTTTTTTTTAGGGTCATATTGTGACCCTATGGTTGTCACAGTAGAGCACAGTGGAGTCGAAATTGTATATCAGTTTTTCAGTTTAGTACCGTCCTTAAGGATGGGGGCCTAATATTTACATGGCTAGCTATATATTTAATCTCTTTTTTCATCTAATCTTTACAGGAATTTGAAATTGCCAGTAGTAGTTCCATTTTAGTGTATGTAGCAAATTCTCCTTTCTCTCTATGGATTTCAGAGAACATAGAAATAGAAAATCTTTTAACTACTTTATTTACTAATCTGCTCAAACGTCACCATGTTTGAATGTGGAGTTAGCTTAAAAATAGCAATACAGAGTCATAGAGAGTTGGGGAAGGGAAGTACATGCAGAAAAGATTCAGAAGAATATACTTTTTGTTTTAAACACAAAATACATAATCTTTTTTTCTGATTTTGAATATGGTTTCCTTGAATGTCTATAATGCTTGCTGTTGTAGTAATTTTGTTACAAGTAAGCACATAGTCATGGGAAGTAGTTCAGTAATGAATATTTTCCATTAAATCATGTATTATAAAGCGCAAAAATAAAAAATCTTGAGTTATCATATTAGAGAAAAGGATGTTTTAGAATATTTATTCATAGCGAATTTGGCTTTTAAAGCCTGACTTAAAATATGAAATGCTTAGGTTTTATGGCTGGCTAATTCTCAGATTTTTTTTTTCAAGTTTATTTATTTGTTTTGAGAGAGTGAGCATGTGCAGGGAGAGTTGGACAGGGGCAGAAAGAGGGAGAGAGAGAATCCCAAACAGGCTCTATGCCACTGGCACAGAGCCCAACGTGAGGGGCTTGATTTCACAAACCATGAGATATGACCTGAGCTGAAACCAAGAGTTGGACCCTCAACTGACTGAGCCACCCAGGCACCCCGGTTCTCAGGTTTTTTAATATTGACCTCCTTCCAGCACTGGCTTGAAAATAGGGACATATAGTACCAGAGATTTGTTAAGAATCAATTTTTTTTAAAGATTTTATTTTTAAGTAATCTCTATATTAAACCTGGGGCTTGAAATGGCTTGAAATCACAACCACAGGATCTAGAGTTGCATTCTCTACCGACTGAGCTAGCCAGGCACCGGAAGTTAAGAATATAGATTTTTATTTTGCAAACCATGGGTGAGTTTCAGTCTGAAAATCCATGACCTTATTTATGAGTCATGGTCAACAGGTGCCGCTGCCCCCACTTGCACCCACCATAATCTCTCAAAGGGGGTCTGTGGCCTCTCCTTCCCTGTGTTCAAAATCACTGTCAGTGCATCCTTTATGTGGTTAATTCCTCTTAATTATCTTGAGTTCAATGCGATTGAGGCCCAAGAATTGATATTTAAGTGCCCACTGTGCTGGTTTAGTGGGAAAGCCATAGTTTATAGCTAAGCATCATCATTGTGATGAGTTAATCCCAGGAGCAGTAACATCAGTTCTGAAACGATGAAAGAAAGTTTGTCCACATTGGAATATAAGGCTCCCTAAGAGTTGTGCTTGATCTGGGCATTTAACTCCAAGAGAATTCTTATCATTGCAAGTAGTATAGTTGTAGCTGCTCTAAGAGAGTGACATACCCTTGTTATGGTGGCTTAGAGTTCTCACTTCAGTGAGAGGGGACTCATTGGTCTGCTTAAATTCTGTTAACTACTTTAGGACTTCAGCTGATTACTGGAATGCAGCAGTTTTATGTGAGCTGTCCGTAAGAATGCCACTGAATGGTGGCCATCATGGTAGGGTTATTGTTTTTGTTTTTGAAAAGATGGAAATGGATAGCAATGTATAACTCTTAAGAAAATTATAACGTAATTAGAGAGGGCACTTTCATGATATAGGAATTCTTAAAGTAACACATGGAAAATACGACAATCTGTTATGCACTGGTTATACTTAGACACAGTAACTGGAGGAGATGAATTTTACTTGTGTGTTGGGTTCTTTAAAATTGTTTTTGTTTACAAATTTTTTTACTGTTTATTTTTTGAGAGAGAAAGACACAGAGCATGAGCGGGGAAGGGGTAGAGAAAGAGAGGGAGACACAGAATCTGAAACAGGCTCCCAGCTCAGCTGTCAGCACAGAGCCTGACGTGGGGCTCAAACTCACAAACCACGAGATCATGTCTTGAGCTGAAGTTGGATGCTTAACTGAATGAGCCACCCAGGAGCCCCTGGATTCTTTAAATTTTTAGGGACTTACTGTACTTCAGCAAGTTAACAATAATACTTTTAACACAATCAAATACGTCAGTGATCAGTTTTTTCCCCCTGGATTCTTTGTAGAGCTTATCGAATTACTATAGTTGTTTTTTTCTGTTATCCATTTCTCTTTTTACTCACAAAAAGGCTGAGTGGGATAATAAAGAACCAGATATGTAGGTTTGAGATGTGTCAGGTGAATTATCAAAATTTAAATTTTGGATTTGCCTTGGTTCATAAATTTGAAATGATTTTAGTACCTTTTATTGCCTGTAGGATGCCTAAATTCTTGGTGTTTTTTTGTTGTTAGGGTCTTTCGGTTAGTCAGGATTTGCAGATGTAGACTTTTCAGAGTCACATTAACACCTAGGACATTTTCCTTTTCTGTGCCTTCTATTTCACGTCAAAAGTGAAATCCCATCTTGGTTTTACTTCGTCTCCAGTTTTGTTTCCATAGTGTCCTTTTGTCCAGCTGTAGGAGATTTTATAATGTTCCCACCAGTATCTAGTAGTAGACATGGGACTGTGAAGAACAGTGGAAAAGGTAGTGGAAATAATAAAAATGTGTGAAATTTATTTGATATTTGTATATTTTTCTTTTGTCTGTGGTTCAGGAAAGGGATTTTATGTGAAGCAACTGAAAACACTGCATTTTTGTTTCATTTTCACTTACTAGAGAATCTGTCTCCTATTTTCTTTCCTGTTTTAACTTCTAGTGGGTGCTTTGGTTAATTGTATCAATCAAAACCATCTTTTTTGTTTCCACCCTGTGAAACTCTCTTAAAGATATGGTCTACTTAGTGTTATAAAGGGAGGAACCCTTCACTGCTCCAGTGGTTTAGGTTAGGGTTTTTCAGCCTCAATACTATTGATATTTTGGGCTGGATAATTATTTGCTGTGAGGAGCTGGCTTGTGCATTATATGAAGTTTAACAGTAATCACGGCCTCTACCCACAAGCTGCCACTATTGTGACAACCAGAAATGTCTGTAGACATTATCAAATGTCCCTTGGGGAACAAAATAGACCTTGGTTGAGAATCACTGATTTAATTCCCATTACATGGTCTTAAAAAACTGTACTTTCACTTTTAGTGATTACTATAAGTAACATAGTAATAGTTTTTCCTACCCAACAATAAGTGTCATGAGGACAGTGACCATAGATTTTCATTGTTTTGTAGCCTCAGTACATAGCACAGTACCTTAATACATAGTGTATGTCAAATAAAGATTTCTTGAATGAATGAATGAATGAATGAATGATATACTGCAGACTGAATGACCTGGACCAAAGTAGTTAACATTTCTGGACATTTGGTTTTCTCCTTTGTAAATGATTGATTTGAGATTATATTTAAGTTTCCTGTTAGAAGATTCTTTGACTAAATATAAAATTAATGTGAGGGACGAGTTAGTATTTATACGGATTATTTTGAAGGTCATTTTATGGAGTATAAGAGATCAGGTGGAAATTTTTTAATTGAAACTCTTTACTAAGGAGGGATCATTGGGAGGGGACTATTCCATTTGAAGGTTCTAGTTAGATTAAGTCCATCCTAAGCTTTATTTTGTAATTAACCCTATTTCCAAACCTTTTGTTGCTTTACTGTTTTTCAATTTAAAGCAAAATATGGTAAAAGTTGTGAAGTTTTTTCCTTATAATATTTTTAAAATTTGGAAAACAAGGATAATGGAGATTGATAATAATGATTTTTTATACCGTGCTTTGGGAGTGTTACAGTCTTAATTGTTCTAGACTAAATATAAAAAGTTTTTTTGGCAAGATTGAAATAGCTCTCTATCATTTTATTCTAGGATAGCACTGAGTTTGTTACAGTAATTTTGATTGACATATAGGGAACATCTGTATTCCCCAGATTCCTAAATAGTCATATTTTATGATCAATTGCTTCTTTTTTTAGAAGTATAGTTGGCTTAGAATTAGTGATGATATTACTAGTTGCACGTGGAATTTCAGATATCTCTTTCTAGGGCCAGTTTCGCTGTTACTGGACAACTTCTAACTCAAAGTGGTATGAGAGAATGTAATCAACCTTAACCTTGAACACTGGCTGAGCTCCTGAACTCGAATGAGCTCATTTTATCTGGTTTTGTTTTCTCAACATCTTTCTCTACTCCTCTCTCTCAGGATTGTGCCTCTACTCCTGCTTGTACAGACTGCTTTTTCCAGCAGCATGGACACAAGAAGCATAGTAAGATGACTATAACGCACATAAGGCAGGCCCTTTGGAAAATATTAGGTTTAAATTGGTAGTGAAATGATCTTGATTATACGGGCTATACTTGGGAAGTGGAATAAAGTTTGTCACTTCGAATATATTAGTAATCTTAAAGAGAGCATCTAAGGAATAGTTGAATTTCTTCACAAAAAATAGGTTAAGTGAAAAAAAAGTTATTGTGCTTAATAGTCAACCTAAATCGTATACTCTTGTTGCATTTACTTACATTCTGCTCCACATAATTACACTGTACTGTAAAAGGAATATAACGTTACTTATTTAATGTGAATGAATTGCAAATCTGTTAATTTGGTGGTTGGAAGTAAAATACATCTTATATTTTGAGGAAGTTCTTCAAACTATAAGATGATAGATAATTGACAGATATGCTGCAGGGATGGAGGAACAAAAAGATTACATCAAAGTTTTGGTTTTCTAATTATGAAGGAGCAGATTTTGATAGAGCTACTATTAGAAATAATGCTGATAAGAAATTTTTATGTAGCTTGTAATTTCTTATCTAAGTTAATTCTATCTCAAGTTTGATGATACATGATGCATTTGTGCTTTGATTTTTAATTTTATGCATTTGGTCTTCTAATTTGATTTAACAAGAATATCGTATACACCATATTTTAAACTCAGGGAAAGATATGTAAACACATTGTGGTATCTACTATAGGTCAGGAAGTATCTTAGTAACTTTGAAATTACCACGTTTGGTCAGAATGGAGAATAGAGAATATTAATGTTTTTTAAAGACGGTTATGGCTATGAAGTTAATGTATGCCAAATTTGTTTTAAGAATAATTCCACAGCTTAATATAACTCATGTAGGTTGATTTGAAAGACCTGTGTTTCGTTTAACCCAGGCATTTTTCTATCTGCTGGGACACAGTGGTAAACAAGATATGCAGGAACCATACCCTTTTGGAGCTAATGTTCTTGTAATCCCCCCTTTTTTCCCTCTCACTTGATCAGTTTTGCTTGCAGACAGTGACCTTGCTGCAGCACTAGTGAGGTTGTGCAGGCAGGACTGACTCCAGGGCTCTGCTTGCTAGGGGTTGGGCCGGCTGCAGCCCTTCTCCACAGGCGCACTTCTGCTTGCTCCACTCTCAGCATTTTGCCACGGAGACTAGAATGCTCTTCTACTATTCAAAATAGAGATTGAGCAAGTAGATTTACTTAGACAAGAATATGGTCTTATGTTTCAACTGTGGGAAACCAAGATGCACTACATTAAGTTTTATCTTATACCAAATTTTCTTTTTTTTTTTCCTTATATATATATTTTTATTTCTAGGAGAGAGAGAGAGACAGCATGAGCAGGGGAGGGTCAGAGAAAGAGGGAGACACAGACTCCGAAATAGGCTCCAGGCTCTGAGCTGGCAGTCAGCACAGAGCCCGACGCGGGGCTCGAACCCACGAACCGCAAGATCATGACCTAAGCGAAAGTCGGACGCTTAACCGACTAAGTCACCCAGGCGCCCCCCAAATTTTCTATCATGTATTTATGAAATCAATTTTTATTTTGAGATCATAATTATTGCTTAAAAGGTAACAGCTTTAAGAATATTTCCCTTTGTCACTGAAATATTTGTCTCTGCATGCAGTGATTAAAAAAAGCTTAAGTAGTGACCAAACCTTTATGAATTTGGAAGAATAAATTAATAAGTATTCTTATTTTTAAAACAAACTTTTGCTTAAGTACATGAAAAAATTGGGTGTCTCTCTCTCTCTCTCTTATAAACACTTATTCTTTGAATTTGATTGGATCCCTCAGGGCTAATTTGAGTAGCTTGTAAGTGAAAGATGAAACACTTTGGATCATGTATCTTCTATCTTACTATGTAGAATTTAGGAAATGATATAAAGATCTTTTTATACTGCGGCACAGTACCCTGAAACTGTTACAGTGTTCTGTGTCAGTTATATTTTACTTAAAAAAATAAGTTGATTAAGTCCTAGTTAATGATTTTTTAAAATTTAGTAAGATTTTTACACTGGAAATTTTTATGATAAAAAAACAGATTGGGGTGTTTGAATTTATTGAAATACTGGAAGTATCTGGGTAAAAAGAATGTTGAGTACGTGAAAATTTTTACAAACCAGTATCTACTTTCTGTAACAGCTGCTTGCTGTGATGAAAAACGTCTGGCTTATGTACTTTTGAAATACTTTTTGTTTACCAAACATTGTTGAAAGTGAGCCACTTTATAATATATAGTGTTGTATAGCTTACAGTGTTGACTCTCTTTTCCCCAACCATCATGTTTCAGTGGAAGTTTAGGATAAGCTTGTGAGAAATGGGTAGGTGCTACTCTCCTTTTACCAACTAGAAAACTGAGGCCACCATTGTGGTTTTACCAGTAAAATGCTAAAGTATGTAAGTATATAAGTATTAGAGCAGAAACTAGAAGAGACCGAGGTCTCAACCTTTGGTTGAGTTATTTTCTTATCCTTGTTCAAATAACTCTCACTCAGTTTTTCACAGTTCCTTTCTACTGGCATAACATCCAGTATAAATTAGTTCTACTTTTCCCACTTTTGAACTTTATTTTTACAACTTCAGATTTGCAGAAAACTTACAAGAATGAAGGATTTTATGTACACTTGATCTTGATTTTGCTACCTGATTATGTTAATTAACCATTTTTGCTTTTTTGTTCACCCTTCACATGCACATGAAAACACAAACTCTTTCTGGCATTTTGATAGGAAATGCAACTCATTTTACTTTTAAGTGACTGTTTTCCACAGTGACATTCTTATACATAGCCGTAGTATAGGAATCAAATTCAGGAAATTGATATAATGCAGTGGTCTATAGATCTTGATCAGATTTTGTTAATTATATCAGTAATGTCCTTAATAATGGAAAGAGAAAATGCTACACCACGCCTTGAGTTCATTCATCTTGTCTCTTCAGTATCCTTTACTCTCAAACAGTTGGTTATAACTCTTTCATTGTCTTTTATGACCTTTGATGATATTAAATGATAATAGTCCAGTTGTTTTTAGAATTTTCTCAGTTTTTCTTCTGTTGCTTCATGATTAGGTTCAGTTTATGCATTTTTGGCATTCTCCGGAAATGATACTGTGTTCTCAGAAAGCACATCATGCCTATTTATCCCATTAATAGGAATGTTAACTTTTTCCCTGCAAGTTTTCTCCATTGTAAAGTTACTATTTATCCCTTTGTAACAAGTATCTTATGGGGAGGTATTTTGAAACTAAGCACATACCTTGTTGCTTATCAAACTTTTACCCGTTTGTTTAAGCATCCATTTAGTTCTTGCCTTGAATCAGTACTAAGGTGGTTGCCAAAAGGTGATTTTCTGTCTATCATTTATTATTGGCATTCTGTAAGAGCTTTTCCTTCTTCCCACTTAAGTGTTTATGTTTATGTATGCATATCAGTATGAACTCATGGCTTTTTTTTTTTTTTATTCATTGGGATTTTTTGATGGAGAGTGTCTCAGTTTTGACCAGTCAGAGCTATTTCAAGCTGTCTCTTGTGTCCTTTTGATGTCTGCTTACTATCTTTTGTGTATTCTCCTTCTTACATAATAAGATATTCCCACCCCAGCCTTGGAGTCAGCCATTTCTCCAGGGAATTGTAGTTTCTTCTTGTGGATATTTATTAATGGATTGCCACAAATATAAACATATATACACATAAATCTTTTTTTTTTTATTATTATTACTGTCTTCCTTTCTAAAAAGCCATGGATTCACCCTGATACCTCCAATTCCAGTCCAACAACTGTAAGGTTCCTTCTAGTTTTTTGCCTTTCCAGTTCTGTAATTACTTTCTCTGACAGCAAGAACTAGTTTCTGTTATCCACAGTGTATTTACATATTATTTGTTCAAACCTGAAACACACAAATAGTTTCAGAATTGCTAAACCATATGTCTCTGAAAACAAACTTATTAATTAGCATTTAATGCTTGTTTATAGTTCTTTTTTTTTTTTTTTTTTTAAACCTGAGAGCATATAGTCAAAATGCTATGTTTAAACATGGCTTGGTTAATCTTTTCCCCTTAATGTAGTTCTGCTATTCATTTGACGTATAATTAGGTTGGGTTTTTTAGTTTGTATTCCATTTTTTTCCTTCCTTTTCCCATTTTTGGTATTTTATTTCTTCAGTATGGAAAACATTAAACATAAATTAACTTTATTTTTCCATTTTTATTTAGCGTCAGCATTCATAACTGTTTATGCTGTGGTTTAAAATTTTTTTTTAACATTCTTCAAATCAAATAGCAAGCCAGAATTCAGAAGTTTTAGATGCAGATAAGGTTTTAGGTGAAAGATGTGTTTCTAATAGTGCAGATTCAATTCATAGGTGAAAGAGATGTATATTCAAAAAACTTTCATTCTCTTGTAAATGGAATCTCCATTCACAGGGGCCAGTAAACTTTTTATGTAGAGGACCAAGTAGTAAATATTTTTAGGTTTTGTTAGCCACTTACGCACTTTTTCACAGACTCTTTTTTTAATTTTATTATTTTGAGAGAGAGAAAGTGAGAGAGGGAAGGAGGGAGAATCCTAAGCAGGCTCCATGCTGTCAATGCAAAGCCTAACAACAGGGCCTGAAGTCAGGAACCATGAGATTATGATGTGAACTAAAATCCAACCAGATGTTTAACTGACTGAGCCACTCAGGAGCCCCTCTTTCACGTATTCATTTTTAATTTTTTTAATATTTATTTTTGAGAGAGAGCAAGCAAGCAAGGGAGGGACAGAGCGAGAGGGAGACAACAGATCTGAGGCAGGCTCCAGGCTCTGAGCCTTCAGCACAGAGCCGATATGTGGCAGGAACCCACAAACATGAAATCATGACCCAAGCCAAAGTTGGATGCTTACGACCCAGCCACCAGATGCCCCTCTTTCACATGTTCTTGTTGGTCTTTCGCAGTTCTTTTAAAATATGAAAAGTGTTCTTGAGGACCTACAAAAATAAGCCATAGGCCATACCTTGCTGGCTCCTACTGCAAACTTTGAAACCTGAGAACTTGATTAATTGCATGCTACTTATAAGTCAGGATTATAATTGAGCAGGAAGATATATTCCTTTTGGCTTTATAATAGCCTTATTTGAACATCAAAAATAAGAAATAACAACTGCCTTAGTGAAAATTATTTATTCAAAATTTTTGAGCACTTACCACCAAGTGCAGACACTATTCTAGGCTCTAGAGATTTTACAGTGTACAAAACAGATTCCACAACAAAACACAACCCCACACAAAAAAACCCTCTGCCCTCATGGAGTTTACAGTCAGTTTTGTGTGTGGATGTTTTCACATTTTTTATAAAATTCAAGTGTTTCTTTTTTCAATTCGTGACATTTATCTATTAAAAATTGTTTTCAGGGGCTCCCGAGTGGCTCAGTCAAATGTCTGAATCTTGGTTTCTGCTCATGATCAGGTCATGATCTCATGGTTCGTGAGTTCAAGCCCTACATTGGGGCTCTCTGCTGTCAGCACAGAGCCTGCTTGGATTTTCTCTCTCCCTGTCTCACTGCCCCTCCCCTGCTTATACTGTTTCTGTCTTTTCTCCCTCAAAACAAATAAGTTTAAAAAAAAGAAATACAAAATAAAAAAATAAAAACTTTGTTTTCATATTAATTGCAGAGTGAGCATTTTCTTGAAAACCTGTTAAAAATGCAGCAAAAGGGGCAAACTTTAAATAGCTTGGCTCATTGCTTCCCTTCGTGTGTGTGTGTGTGGAGTGTCATTTTTTAAATTTGAAAATGATTCTTAGTCATGATGCTTTCAGGTTATAACTATACTAACTCACTAAAAGATGACAAGCTAAGTCTCACTAATTGGGACAAAGAACCCAAACTTAATTTAGTGATAAATATAGGTGTGTTATAGAATTTTAAAAAAAAATTTAATGATTATTTTTGAGAGAGAGAGAGACACACACACACAGTGTGAATGGGGGAGGGGCAGAGAGAGAGGGAGACACAGAATCTGAAGCAGGCTTCTGGGGCTTGAACCCACGAATGTGAGACCATGCGCTGAGCTGAAATCAGATGCTCAACTGACTGAGCCACCCAGGTGCCCCGTTATAGAATCTTTAAAAAAATGTTAAAATACGTAATAGTGATTCAGCTAGTCTTTCTTTAAGGCTTTAAT